CCATATGCTGAAGTCTTGTTTTTGATAAATGGTACTTCTGTAGTGGTTTTTCAAACCTTAAATCCTACATATTACTTTTTTTTGAGTTACTTTTGGTAGTATAAATTATTTTGTGACTGATTTTGTTGTATACTTGTATAATTGCGTACCACGAGCAATGTTATTTGATTATTTTAAGGTGATGATTTTACTCAAAAATCAAAAGTCTAGTTCCAAGGGATGTGGTTGAAAATTCCAATTGATATTTCCTTGAAGACGATTTTATTTTACCAAGACCAAAAATTACAAGAAAATTTCATCGAGGGTCACCTAATGTATAGATTTATTTCATGTCAACCATTCAATTCAATTTTCTCTTGAATCGGGGCTTGAGAGTGATAGAAGCCTCACTTTCTCTTATTGTACATTATATTTTCATCTCACACAAACAGTTATATTCTTTAAAGTTAGACAAAAGGAAGCAAACGTGAGTGGAATGAAAGTCTGTTTTTTATTTGATACGTGAATATTTCACCTATTATTATTATCAACATAACTTTGTTAACAATGTTCACAATTTAGCATACATTTTTGTCATCACATTTATTTAAGTTCTATGAAAAGCAATAATTTTTGTTGATAAGGTCAATAATTTTATTAATTTGAGTAATATTTATCGACAAAATACTTAAATTGAAATAAAAATGCAAGTTGGGTGATACATTGACACAAAAATATAAGAAATTGGGTGAACAAGTTGAAACAAATTAAACTTGGCTACCAATATGAAAGTAACTTGTACGTTGGGTGACCTTGAGTGAAATTTTCAGGAAAACTATCTTTATATGGATGGATGGCAAACGGTGATTGGTTGACTTGATCAACTGAGCAAAATAGAAAAACCCTATTATATTCAAGAACCCTATTTTTTTTTTCTTTTTCATTCGGAGACGTTGAACCCTAAGTTTTCTCTGTGTTTGATAACTAAAGAATGGATCCGCAGCCTGAACCCGTCAGCTACATCTGTGGAGGTACTGCAAACCCTTGCTATACTTACACGTATATCGTATATAGATGGCTATGACTGTATTTTCGATATTGTGTGTGGGGTTGAATTTTTTAGCTGAAAATAGAATGATAAAATTGGGTTTGCAGATTGCGGACAAGAGAACACACTGAAGCCAGGGGACGTGATTCAATGCCGTGAGTGCGGATATCGCATTCTGTACAAGAAACGTACCCGCAGAAGTAATTTTCTTTTTCAGTTGAAGCATTTTTATTTGTTTATTTGGTCTTTTGAAAAATATAATTTTGTTTAGTCCTTTCTGTCCGCTGATATTGTAGTTTTTTATGATTGATTAACGACTATGTTAGTCGATGGCATATTTTTGGGTTTTGCTTCTTTGTAATTCTAGGTTGGGGTAAGAGTAATATCAAAAGTGTTCCTTGAAACAAAACTTTTTGGTTTTGGGAGGAAGTTATTTTCTTTTTATTTTCTGGGGTGGTTGTCGAAGGCCCAATTTTTCAATTGGTTTTCATACTAAAGATTTTGAAAATTTTGGTATTCATATTATGCTGGTAAAGATAAAATTTCCCGGTTTTGATTGGCTAGAAATTTCTTTAGGTTCGGTGGTCGAGAGCTCCATTTATTTCCAATGAAAATGGGGAAAAAATGGAAAATCTATATTTTGAAGATTACTTCTCTGGAAAGATAGTTTCAATATTCTCATAATGAGTTTAATAATACGTCCAAATATGTAGAAAATTTATATCAATTTTCCTTGAAATTTCTCATTTATGGACAGTCATGGTAGAGAACGATTAATAAGATAGCACTCGTGACGAAACTTGGGGTCTGCTTGAAAATTGTTGAAATTATTGAAAGAAGAGAACTATGCTTTATAAGATTTAAGTATCATAATTTTCCAGTTTTAACCTGTGTTAAGCTTGTCTTTTGCATCATGCAGCTGTAATTGTAATGGATAATTGGTTTCAGAATTGGGTTTACATTATTATATTGCATTTTATATCGGTACTTCTAAACTCTAGAGTCAGTCTTGGTCCTTTTCTTTTTGGCTAACTTGCAATATTACCTTGTTGAGATTGTAGCTGACTGAAGATTCACATGTTTATATTTATGCACATATTTTCTCTTTGGCAACAACTTCTACTATAATTTATATTGCGTTTTGCAGTTGTCCAATATGAAGCACGTTGAAACTGCCAGGCTCGAAGGTCCAGTGCATATTGATATTGTCAACGATAAGCATTCTTACTGCAGTACTACTGCTAGGTGTTTTCTGATATTTCATATGTTGATGTAAACTGTTATTCTCTAAAATTCTCTTTTGTAGCGCTCTGGTTGTTGATCGCATGGAAACTTTGTTTTGTGTTCTAAAAACATAGCTTCATGGTTGTATTATATTAGTGTTCATATTCGTGGTAACCAACTTGTTTATTTTTATCTTTTATTGCTGGCTCTTGAGAGTTTATTTCAATCCTGGAATTTTGATTACCAAGATCTTGCATTCAAACACAGAAAACCGAAAGGACTCTTGAGTCGAGATTTTATGTTTTATTAGAGGTGTTGCTGTTTGCAAGGCTAGTCAGGAGTGGATTTTAGGTGGAGATAACGGTACAATCAGCCGAGGGGTGTGGATGGTGGAGATTGGCCGGAGATGATGGCGGAATCTGCTTTTGAAATTGGCAATATTGATCTCTCTGTTATTATAGGCAGCTGGTGCATCATATTTGCTGAAAAGTCTATATGAGGAGATGAGTATATGCCCTGTATGGCAAAGTGTAAAAGTGAACGTTATTGCTATGGATATGATGGGGTGGCCCTCCGGCAAAAACCACCAAATGTTACACACAAGTTTGGCTACACCTAATGGCGGCGTCCCCTTTATATGCGAAGTACGCCACCTCCGATGATATCGCACCCACTACCAGGATCATGTAGGCCAGAAGCTGCATCAAGTTTAATGAAATTTACGTCTACAGATAAGAAAAATCCAAGTCTTGAGCTCGCGAGTTTGGGGTCATTTATATGAATCTTTTTGTGTGACCATACCTTGAAAGTGACGAAGTAGACCTGAAATGGGGTAAAATTAGTTCGTGGTAACTTTACTTCTACTCGAAAATTATAGACAAAATTGGTGTAAGGTGCGAATAATTATATTTGCTGGAATGGTTGTTTAACATATATGAGCAAACCTGGTCGGACTTTGGTACGGCGGCCACAACGGCAGAGAGAAGGGAATAGCCAGAACAAATGCAGCTAGCATGCACTAAATATCTGCACATACACAAACCCTTCTGTCCTCACCATTACATCTTGATCTATGTGCTAAGACTACAAAAGAAATTCATCAAAGAATACCTGAAAGGGCCATTTTCAGAATAGTAAAAGGAACCAAATTCATTAGTCTGTGAATCCTTTAGCATGATGACTAGCGCCACCGCGCCCAGAGCCATGAGCAGGACTTGCAGCAGTGTCTCTGCCGTGCTCATGGTGGAGCTTCCATTTTCTTCTTCAGTTGGACCCTTTTCAATTTGTGCATTTTCTTTCGTAGTTTCATTCTCTTGCCATCCATTGCAGACAATTCTTCATTCTATTATTCTGTGTGTCTATCAAGAAAGGTGGTGGGGGTACGTGGGTGTCGATGCTACTCGCTAATTAATTAGTTTGGTGTAAATGAATTAAATGTTTATTAAAGTATAGATTGAGAGCTAAGGATAAATTAAACATTTTTTTGGGTTAACCCATAACTCTTAAAACACCCTTACGCATCTAATTGTAGACCAAAGGCGTCTCACAAAGGTCGGAGAAAAGGTCTGAATTTCCCTATTTTTAAGTAAGAAAATACAAAAAATATAGAAGTGCAACATAATATTTGTCTTTTGTTCTGAAACATGCTAACAAAGTATTTCGATACAAAATATCATCAAAATGCACGTTTACAAGTTAATAAAATCAACTAAATAGAATGAGATAAAAAAAATGCATAAACGACAATTAGCAAATATAGCTCAATTAAAAAGTTTGGCAACTGGTGTAAAAATAGCCTATGTTTGTTTTGTGTTTATATATACTAAAGTCACTTTTTATCCACATGTTATCGAAGAATTTATAATATTAGTCATTTATTTATTATTTAATCTTATATATTTAGAACCCCGCTATTCGTACAGAAGAGTTTGACAGAATTAGTTGACAGATACTCACAATATGGGGGGCCACTTTTTTTTAAAAAAAAAATTATTAACGCGGGTCCCATGGTAATGTGAGTATTTGTCGACAAACATGTCAACCATTTTTCTGTACAAATGGTTTTTCCCATCTATTTATAATTTAAACAATTTATAAAATATGCTTATAACTACACGTATGAAAAAAATGAAAATAAAAAATTGGTGTTGTATTTATGTAAATATCACATTGAAATTAAATAATTAATGCTTTTTGGTGGGCAATTTTGGCAGTTCCCTGAATTACGCCAATCATTTGCAATTTTACCCAATTCAAAGCAATTCCCCTTTCATAAGTAGATAAAGACAAATTTTTTCTTTCTTGAATCTTTGGATATAAATTTTTCTTGTGCCACAAATCATACAGATAAAGAAAAGAGTGATCAATTATGAGTAAAGAAAAGGGGGACAGTCAACACCACCACCATGAAGATCAACCGCCGCAGACGCCGCAGTATGGAACATTTCAGGGTGTAGTCAATCATCCTCCTCCGGCAGTGATCGGCTTCCCTCAGCCTGTTCCGCCACCTGGCGCCACTGGAGCTCCTCCACCACCATCTCAGTATTATGCTCATGGTTATCAAGCTGTCCCAGGTATATAACTTTGCACATCTCTATGTATAACCCAGAAACAAGAAAATGTTTTTTTTAGTATTTGTGAGTCAACGCCTTAGTTTCTAAGAATCTGTTGATCAAATAATTGCATAAGCGGGATTTATATGAAAGGTACATGGGCGTGTTTAGATAGTTAGGGTTCTTAAAAATCTAATCTTTTCAACTCACGGGTATTCAAGAAATTCAACTTACTAAAAGACTGATTTATTAGGAATTATGACTTAGGTTTTCATTTGTGGAATAGGGTCTTATCATATTTTTTTCTGAACAGATGGATCAAGAGTGACAATTTTTTTCCCGATCTTGCCGGATTTTTCATGTTAATAGCATTATAACTTTCGGAAACTCCAATTAAAATTTGTAGAAATCCAGGATAATATCATGTTTTGATGTAGGAAGATGCAACCACTTTTCTCAAAAGCTAGAGCTAATAGGATTTTAGAGAGGTGCAATCCAGCCCTGTATCACCTACGATTAGGCCGGGAAATCCATCCCAAGAACTATTCCTTTGGATTTTGTTTACTAGGCAAACTTCATATTCGGTGATGCTAGGCTTCATGCTTGCTTTCTTCGAATATAAATAATTTGTTTTAGGTTTGTGGTAGAATATTTCCCTACTTGTCCCATTTCTACTATTTGGAGAGTTAATTGATTTTCTGTTTCCAATTTCTGTATACTTATCTTTTGATTTGCAACTAACATTTCAATGCTATTGCAGGTTATGCTATTGCAGAAGGAAGGCCTGTAAGGCAGCGTCGCCTTCCTTGCTGTGGTATTGGCATTGGCTGGTTCCTGTAAGCCACCATTTTATTTTGTTTTCCCCTTCTGCATCGATTGATTTGGCTAGCATACAAGTGCACAGCAATTGGGGTTCCAGGAGTGGTGACATGCCTTAGCATTTGCTGAAGGCGGAGCCATTTATCATTTTGTATTCCATTACAAAAATGGAGAATTTATCATAATTATGAATTATATCTAGATAAAAAGATTCAAAACAAAAGTAATTATCCAGAAAAGCGAAGGCATGCACTATATCTATCCAACAAATTCAATTTCATTACAGAGTCTCAATCCCGAACAAATCGTAATGTTATAGAATGCTTTTGTTCTGGACGATTACTGGTACTCTGAGATTCCAACTTCTCTAGAATGTATGAAGTCTTTGAATGGGGTGCATCTATCTCTCTCTCTCTCTTTATTCCTCTTATATCTTCTCTTTAATTATTGTTCTTGCAATGCTTCAACTGTAATCTGTGTTGTAAATGCATATCTCTGAAATTTCATAAACCTGATCTTCATAGCGAAATTTTTTATTTTCGTAATGTACTTAATTAGTTCCTCTATGATTTTATTCTAGACATTCCTTCCATTTTCGCTAATCTGGTAGGAATCTCTTTGAAGGTTTATTATTGGTTTCTTCCTGGCTGCAATCCCTTGGTACGTTGCAGCATTACTTCTATTCTGCTCCAGAGTTGATCCTCGCGAGAAACCCGGTTACATTGCAAGCACTATTGCCGTAAGTACTCCTTATCTCCTCTATTAAACTTGTCTGATGTCACTCTCACAATAGCGCCTCAATGAATTAACATACGAACAAGTTCCTCTGTTTATGAGCTTCAATTTCCTTATATGAGTCTTTGCTTTGTCGTTGAGACATCCTTAGTCCAGAAAAATCACTGCTTAGGGTAAACCGTTACATTGCTTTTAGCAGTAAGGTGGCGCCTCGAGCTGAAAATAGCACTATGAATGTAATGAAATGAACAATTTTCCAAGAACTCGCCAAAGATGTAGTAAACTACAAGAATATAAAAGAAAATAACAAGGGAAAAAGTGTTAAAAGCTGGTTTGTGAAAATAAGTCTTGAAATAGTAATACGTTTGAAGAATGTATTGTTAAAAAGTAAAAAAAAGTTTTAGATTTACATGTAAAATTATTTTATTGGGAGAGTGTGTGATTGAAATTGAATTTGTGGGGACAAAAATGGAGTTTTTAGATAATGCAGCTCAAACAGGGCTATATTAGACAGAACATGGTAGTACAATAAGAAAGATTTTAGCTTCTTTTTCTTTCTTGGTGTTTCTTATAAGCTGATCAAACTTTATTTTTATCCATACATTCTTTAGTACCCATATATTATTCATACATTTTGTAGAATCCACAGCTTATAAGTACTTAAAAGTTCTACCAAACAAGCACTAAGTATGATTTCAATCCACTGATGCACTGTTTTAACCTAAAGACACCAAAAGAATTACACTTGTCTTCTAAGTCTTGATGCTCTTCTTCGTTCTTATGTATCGACTTGTTGCACTTTTTGTGTGTAGGCTGTTCTCGCTACTGTTGCTATTATCTTTGGACTTACAAATACGGACTGGTGAATTGCCTCCAAAGAATTATGCGGGCATATACAGACACAAACATCTCCCAAAAGCTAGCTTGATTTCTGTTTCCGGTGTTGGCATTAAGGCATACTATGTGATTGAAACACTTATTTTTCTGGCTATACATATGGTACTTAAAATTGTTGAACTCTGTAATATCATTTTCATGTGTATATCATGCTTCAGTTATATGTCTATAGTTCAAAAATATTCTCTTGCAAGCGTGGCTCCTAAGCTTAGTGAAAGGTATCTGACATATTACGCGACATTGTTTGAGTAATGTACGATTTTACAAAACATTTATTTGCTCAGCGAAGAGTAAGAATAAAAACTTCTGCCAGCTTCATATCATGCGTATAATCTTGCACGTGGATTCATAATTTTTTTCTTAGTTTTTAATCATACATTCTTCAAATAATTATTTTTCGCAAAATCTATTCTCAAAATCTACATCAAATGTGCCCTGGATGTGCATTTGTGACTACTTTTCAGTTGTATTGCAATTGACACTCGTCAGCCGTAGCTAAAATTGTTGAAGAAAAAATCTAAAATTTCAAAACCATAACGTAAATATTTGGTGCACTGTGAATGATTATGATGTAAAATAATTGATGTACAGATTTATTTTTACAGAAAACTCACAAAGGTGAGAGCCCCACTTGAATAAACAATGTCAAAAAATTAAAACAAACCCCCCTCCCCCATGTGAGGTATCGAGAACCCCTATCTATATATCAATCATAACTCGAATATACTTTTTTTTTTAATCATGTTCAATGTGGTCTATAAACACATTAAAAATTCCTCAATTGAATGAAAAATTTGCGAGTAAGCATTCAGACTTAATAATAAGAATGACAGCCAACATGCCACCCGGGGTATAGTTCAATGGTGCAAAGGACAGGAGTGAGATTATCTCACGCCTTGTTGGCAGCTGCAGTGTAGGGGTTCGATTCCCGTGATATGGAATTGAACTCCTTGTAGGAGCAGTGTACATGCAACTCTTGTTCTCTCGCCTGCTGGGGCACATTTCGTGATTTATCTCCCTCACCAAACTCTAAAGGCGGGACGGTGGGGGTCCCCAAGTTGGGGTTCAACCTTTAAGAATGACCGCCAACATTTTACTTTCTTAGATCCGTGGAATTTGAAAGCTTGTACAACTTTCATGTTCAATAATTACAAAGAATGAAATTGATCCCTTGCTCACAATATGCTGGATATGTGACAAGAAAACTTTACTTTTATCCTCCCCACTAATGATTGTTACCAAGAAATGATTCTATTTACCAATTAAGACATCTGTAAAAGAAAAAAATTTATCATAATAAAATCATCGTTGGATTAATCACATAGGATGTAAAAAATTTCGCAAAGTTCATATTGAAATGGAAGAAAGAAAACTTTCATTGAAACAAATGAATTACACACCGTGAGTATAAATACAATGATTACCAACTAACTAACTATCTAACCATGCAACTATCTAACCATGCAACTAATGCAGTGATTACACGTGGCTAACTATCACTAACTAACTAACTTCCTAACTAATTTGTTTACAGCTGGATAAACGGTGCTGAGCTGGGGAATTTCTTCTGTTAGTCCCCTTCAAGATGGACAGTGGGGATTGATGATGGACATCTTGGACATTAGCGGGAATAGGAGATTAGCAGGAAGAGGCTTCGTAAAGACATCTGCTAGCTGATTTTGAGTTCGCATCGGCAACAATTTGACGAATCCATCATTGATTCTATCACGAACGAAGTGACAATCTATTTCTATGTGTTTGGTTCGTTCATGGAAAATGGGATTGCTTGCAATGTGGATGGCAGCTTGATTATCACAGAAAATGAGAGCTGGAGCAGAGGAAGAAATATGAAAATCTCGAAGCAACTGAGAGATCCAAATGAGTTCACTGGTAGTGGAGGCCAAGGCACGATATTCAGCTTCAGCTGAAGACCTTGATATTGTGGTTTGTTTCTTAGCCTTCCAAGATACTAAAGAGTCACCAAGGAATACGCAATAGCCCGTCACAGATTTCCTGGTGTCCAGACATGCACCCCAGTCAGCATCAGAGAAAGCACGAATCTGAAGTGAAGAGTTAGCTGAAAATAAAAGTCCTTGTCCTGGAGATGCCTTGAGATATTGCAAGAGGTGATGAGCAGCTTCAAGATGAGGCTTTCTAGGCTGAGCAACGAACTGACTAAGTTTATGAACCGCAAAGGTAATATCCGGTCTTGATATAGTCAAGTACAGAAGTCTGCCAATCAATCTTCTAAAGCTGGAAGCATCAGGAAGAAGGTCCCCTTCAAATGAGCAAAGTTTGATTTTGGGATCCATGGGCAGTGTGGCTGGCTTGCAAGCCAAAAAACCTGTGTCCTCCAACAATTGTAATGTATAGTGACGTTGGGAGAGGAAGATGCCTTTGTGTGAGCAGGCAATCTCCAAGCCCAAAAAGTACTTTAAATGTCCAAGATCTTTGAGTTTGAAAAGACTATGTAATAGGGCTTTTAAAGAATTTATAGCCATAGTATTTGATCCTGTAATGATTATGTCGTCGACATAGACTAGAAGAGCAACAAATGTATTTCCAGATCCCTTTGTGAACAATGAATAATCCGACTTTGATTGGATGTAACCATGGGAAATAAGAGCATTAGAGAATTTTGCAAACCATTGTCTTGACGCCTGCTTTAAGCCGTAGATGGATTTATTTAATCGACATACCAGCTTCTTTCCCGCCGGAGAACCATCTTTGCAATGTGTGTTATAACCCAAAGGCAGATCCATAAAGATTTCTTCGAAAAGATCACCATTTAGAAATGCGTTATTAACATCTAATTGGGTAATCTGCCATTTATTTATAGCAGCAATGGCAAGAAAGATCTTTACAGTTACAAGCTTAGCCACCGGAGAAAATGTATCAATAAAATCCAAGCCTTCCTATTGGGTGTATCCCTTGGCCACCAAACGTGCCTTATACCTGTCAACACTTCCATCAGGTTTGTGCTTGATTTTGTATACCCACTTGCAGCCTATGGAATGCTTGTCTTTGGGCAAGGGAATTACAGACCATGTATTGTTAAGTTCCATCGCTTCTAGCTCATCTTTCATTGCCTTTTTCCAATGATCAAAG